CAAGGTCAGTCAAATCCCCTCAGGATTTACCCTGAAACCCCGTACCACAGTTTGTAGATCTTTTGTCAGTGTCAGCCATGTGGATGAGTCATGGCCATTGCTTGAGCAGTTTGCTTTCTGTGAAAGCCTGAGAGAATGTTTTCTCTCCATATGGGGAGTCTCAATTTTAAGGAGCCCAGACTTTTTCTTGTTCTCTCACAGTCTTTCTGCCTGGACAGATAAAGTTTTGGCAACCATTATCAACCATGAGAACAAGTGACAAACCTTTAGGATGATGGAAAGTAGGGCTCCTGGAAACTTCTATTCCTAGAGTTATTTTACACATGAAAATAAAATTTAAGGTATTTAAGGAGAGAGAGAGAGAGAGAGAGAGAGAGAGAGAGAGAGAGAGAGAGAGATCGAGATCTCCCCACAAATTACTTGTCAGTTATAAAGGGAGTAATTTTACTACGGAGAAGCCTAGTAACCTGGGTGTTCAGAGTTAGGAAGACCAGCAACAGGACAAGCAGATATCAGTGCATCTTGGAGAAGAGCATTTCTGTGCTATTACTGCCAAAGAAACAATTCTGAATTTAATCAAGAGAAAACCTCAGACAACTCAAATTGATTAGCTTGTGTTTCAAAAATGTCAAGGTCAAAAATCACAAAGGCTACAGAAATGTTTCACAGGAACAAAAAACTAAAGGACATCAACTAGTGAAAAGTTAGCTCTAAAGAATATTACTGGAATAACCAATAAAACGTGAATACAATGGGTTAGGTAAAAATGTTAAATTTCCTAATTTTGAATAATTACTGATTATATAAAGAATGTCCTTATTCTTAGAAAATACACACTGAGTATTTAGGAATAAAGGGACATGATGCTTATAACTCACTTTTATAATAGTTCAAGAAGAAAATGGTGTGGAGAAGGTGTGGGGGACAGAGGCAGAGATAGTACACACACACACATATACACAGAGCAAAACCAGAAACAACTAGTAAATCTACGGCCAGGGAGACGGCTCAGTAGAATAAGCACTTGCCTGGCAAGCACAAGGTCCTGAGTTCAATCCCCAGTACCACAAAAAAAAAAAAAGAAAAACTAGTAAATCTGGGTAAAAGTTTCTAAGAGTTCTTTGTACTATTCTTATAACTTCATTATGCTTGAAATTATAACAAAATTACTACTCATAAAGTATTATATAACAATACTAAAAACGTGTTAATCCGGTTTCCTTTAGGACTTCAGGGGCCTGCATATTAGAGGACCTATCTTGGTTTAACATATCTGAGTGATCCTTTCCTGAATTACATTTATCTTGGTACTTCACTAACATACTACGTTAGTATTTACTAAATGCTCTTAAATTGTTTCTCATGAATTTCTCTCTTCCTATTTTTGCATTTTTGCCCTAAAAAGATCTACTTATGAATATCCCTCACAGAGAGATAACCTAAGCAACAGTGTTGACAGGCAAGATGCCCCACACTGCATACGACATAGGCTGGACCCAAGATTCAAGCAAACTCATCTATAATCACAGTACTCCTGCAACTATGTTTTGTGTATATGCACAATATTTCTATAATGTATGTGTGAGTATATATAACAATAATGTATGTTTATTTATATAATCACTTTTATTTATCTGATTAAATACTTAAAGAGCGGGGCTGGGGAGATGGCTCAGTAGAATAAGTGCTTCCCAGGCAAGCACAAGGGCCTGAGTTCAATCCCCGGTTTCGCAAAAAAAAAAAAAAATACTTGAGAGTATTTAGCGTTAGGAAATGAACAGAAAAAAATATGTACCCTTGCTCACTTTGTAAGAGAAGCTAATTTGTTGGTTCCTTTTTGGGAGAGGAAAGACAGGAACCACTTGGCAATATCTATTAAGATTTTAAACATGAATATTCTTTGATAGAGCTGTTTTACCTTTTAGTGGTAATCTACCATTCAGAAAAATGTCTTAAGTTTACAAAACTTTCTGAACATAGTTCTCAGTATTTATATATATACAGTTTATTCCTGTTTCTATGTTCATTGTTAACAAAAAATACAAATAAATATTTAATAAACATTCTTTGAAAAAGTAGAAACATCCACAAAAGATGAACTACCAATTTTCACCATCTCCTTAACACTAAATTTTGCCCAGAAATGATATGAAAGAAACCACATAATGTACAGTAGTGAAAGGAAGCATTGTTTTAAATAGTAAAATGCTACTGATAATCTTTATTCATCAATAAGTAATTTAATAAATAATGATATAAAGCCAGGTATGGTGGCTCAGGCTTCTAATTCCAGCATTCAGGAAACTAAGGCAAGAAGACTGCTGTGAGTTCAAGGTCAGCCTAGGAGAACCTGTCTCAAAAAAAGGTGTCTCACCTATCAATTCAACATCATACAAAACCATTACAGGCTTCACCATAATCGCACAGTCATTATCAGGTCCAACTGTCTGTTCTGGATCCAGATAACACCAGGAAAGTCTGAAAGGATGCAAGTATCCTGTCATGTGTGGAACACTTAAATGATGGCCACCTTCACTGGAAAGGATGTGAGACATTTTAGAGGATTTTCAAAATACAAGTAGGAAAGACCAGGTAGTTATTATAGCATACCACCCACTGACCCTTTCAGAGAGATGACAACTCACTCCTTATACACCTCCCTTGCCTCTGGCACCTGGATGACCCTGTCTTGATGTCTACTGACCACTCTTACCTTGGACTTCGCATACCAAGTGAAGTGCAGGAAATTTGTCTCACTGGGCACTAACAGGTTAAAGGACAGAGCGTAGTGACTAATAAGGTCGTTTCTCACATAATAAAGTTCTGCATCAAGACCTAAAAAAAAAGGGGGGGAAAATAATTAAACATCTACAATATCTTCAAAATCAGACCTACTGGGATTTAAAACTAGTAATACAGTGAATACAGGACTGATATACACACATGTATCAGCAATTGTGCACACACATGTGCAGTCTGATGAAGCAGGAGGGCACTGGGTTTTATCATCACTGACAAAGATGGAGAAACTGGGACTGAAAGCAAGAGGTTCTCTAAGTCCAGAACTCTAGCAGCCACCCTATCTTCTGAGTGCCAGTATGATACACTGCTTTCTGGGCACAGTGCTTCTCAGAATAGAACCTACACATAAAGGTCTTTCCTTTAAAAAAAAAAAAAAAATGACAAGGATTTCGGAACAGAGATTCAAAATGGAAAGGAAACCAGCAGCTGATTACAACCCAGAGGTGGCCTCTGCTTCTTCCATCAGACCAATGTCCCCAGTACCCTGCTAGAAAGCACGTGCCTCAATACACTCACATCAGGTAACTCCCAGGTTCATGTTCTCCTCCCTGCCTAGACTCGGTGCAGAACACCACAGATCTCACTGTATCCTTGGATGCAGTTCTCAGTGCAAAGCTCAGCTCTATAAACACTTGGTTAGAACTTAAAAGAGCATGGCAGGCAAAACAGGAATGACTGAAAATGCTACAGAAAGGACTGCTACATTTTCATTCATTCCACACTAACTTCTTGACCTAATTCTATCAAAACACTTTACCCTATCTGTATTTAATACTTTTCTTTAAAACAATTCAGTTGTTAGTTTTTTTCAAAGATAAAACTTAGTGATACCTTAAAATGAAATCAAATTATTATGAAAAACTACAAACTAACCAAAGAATAACAGGAAAACAAAGCAGCAGTGCTTAATTCTAACTAAATACTGCTGCTACTAATGTAGTGAACTTGATCCCAGCACACTGTTTACCAAAGGGGAGGACAGAATGTTAGCAAGTGCTACAGAGAAGTGAAGAACCACACAGAGGCTTTCCTCCCCCATGATAATGAAAAGCACTGAAAGAATAAAGACAGACAGTAACTTTCTCTTGAATTGATTACAAAGCTCTGTCCAGATGTTCCTCTAGTAATGCGTGGCATACATATCCCACACTAGAGAGAGGAAAATGTACAGGGAAGATCAATTTACATTTCACATTTACTGAGCCTGTACTATGGGTCAGAAGTCTCATGCACTGCATGATGTCAAGATAGGGCATACATAATATATACAGGAACAAAAATATCCCTGCTACAGGTATTCCACTTGTGAAATTAGTTTTCTCATTTTTGAACTGGATCTAACAAAAGGATGAGATTTGAGACTCAGCCAGGTAGAGTTGCTTCATGGACTTAGTAGCACTGTTTGATTAACTCTACAGAGGTTCCCAAATGCAATGACCCTTATGTAGAAAGATCTACCTCTCTGCTGGTAGGACAGTAACATGAAGACTTGGGAGGAATCACAGTGTTGGAGAAAGAAGGAAAGGATGGGAATGGAGGGAAAAGCAGCAAGTGAGGGAATGGAGGTAGAAAAAGAGAAAAATGGAAATGAATAACAGTTTAAATTTGTTTAGTCAAAAAAATTGAGTGTACTGTAGTCTAAATAAATGCTGTTTTACAAGAGATACACCAAATCTGAAAAGGTATTATCTTACTACAGTAGTGACATGACATAAACTCAAGATAATAAAATTTCATACTGATAGTTGTTAGGTAATATAAAATATAAGTAAGATTTCATATCAATAACTACAAAAGATATTACAGCACTACTAACAAAAGCTCTTCAAATATAGGAAGCAAAAACAATAGGAAAAACCAGCAAGAAACAGATAAATCCATAATCACAGTTGCAAACCGATACTCAGAAATCAAAAAATTAAAACAAATATTTAGGTATATCCATGACTTTAGTAGTATAATTATGGGATATGAAAGAATGAGGGTAAATGATCATGAATTACACTATCCACATATTTTTTTAAAGATTCTTACCAATAATCATACAGGTAATAAAAAAATAAATAAAATCATACAGACTACCTTCTCTGATCAAATACAGTAAGAAACAAAGCCAGGAGTGGTGAGACATATCTGTAATCCTAGCACCCTGGGAACTAAGAAGGACTGCAAGTTTGAACCCAACCTAGGCAATTTAATGACTTAGCAAAACACTGTCTCAAAAGAATTTTTACAACAGTTATAACTGGGAATATAGTTCAATGTGAAAGATCTGGGTGCAATCCCAGTGTTCTCATAGCCAAAGACCTGCCCGTAAGAGAATTTGACAAGATTAACAGCTAAATCCTTTGAGAGAAACATCAAATACATATTATCCAATTTTAGAAATAAAAGAAGGAATATTACTACAAATCTAATCTATTATTATGGATGCTAAAAACCATATTCTGAATAATTTTATGATAAATTTGATAAAAGTATATGAAATGGAAAAAATCCCTTTACTAAAACTGACAAAAACAATTGTTTTTCAAAGAAAAATCTACTCATAAAGAAAGTTTCAGGTCCAGATGACTTCAACTGTGAATTCCACCAAACATTCAGGGAAGTTAAAACATTAATTTTACATAAACTCTATCAGAAAATAACTGAAGAGAACATTTGTTTGTAAGGCCAGCATCACACTGTACTAAAAACCTACAGAAAATGTTAATGGGAAAGATTAAAAACCAACAACTCTCATCATGTACATGGACTCAAACATTTGCCACAAAACATTAGCAAATTTACTATCATGTAAAAAGGACACCCATGATCAAAGAAAAGGTTGACTTCTTCCAAAATCTCAATACTTTATCACATTATAAGAAAATTCAGGACATCCCAAATTCAAATATCCCACATCAAGAATAAAAACTTAAAAAAAAAAAAAAAAAAAGAATAAAAGCTTAGGCAAACAAGGCAAAGGCAGGATATAGAGCATATCTCTCAGTCTGATAAACAGCATTTACAAAAACACTACAGTTAGCATGGTAAGTAGTGAATTATTAAATTTTTGTTCCTAAAATCAAAAATAAAGCAAGAATATCTTCTACCACTTCTATTCTGTCTGGTAATGTACGTGCCTGTCAATGACCAGATCTGAACAGAAAACAAGTAAACATAGCTAAGGAAAAGTAGAGAAGAACTTTAAATAAATGGAGAGAGCTATCATTCTCTTTAATAAAGATAAACACAATTAAGATGGTAAGTTTCTCAAATTACTCTATAAATTCAAAGAAAACCTAAGTAAAATTCTAACCAATATTGTTCAGTAGTGGAGATTAGCCCCAGGGCTTTCACAATGGGCTACATCCCCAGTCTTTCTTGTTTTGAGACAGTGCTGTGCTAAGCGGTTATGTTGCCCAGGCTGAGCTGGAATTCGCCCTTCTCCTGCCCAAGTCTCTACTAGATTGCTGTTATTACCAGTGCATGCCACGACACCTGGCACCCAACTGATTCTAAAATAAAACAGAAACAGAACAATCTTGAAAACAGGAAAATAATGTTGGCCAATTTACACGACCTGACACAACAATACAATGAAAATCTACCAGTGATCAAGATAGTGGTATTAATGTGAAAAACAGTTTACAATAGAATCTGATGGAATTTAGATACATAGCAAATGGAATAGACGGCAAGCAGAATTTCAACAAAGACATTACCACAATTCAACCAAAATGGTACTAAGGCAACTGGATGGATATTCAGGAAAAAAAAAAAAGACAGAAATCTAGACCCTTATCTAACATATCACACAAGAGGGGGGCCAGGGAGATGGCTCAGTGGAATAAGCGCTTCCCTGGCAAGTGCAAGGGCCTGAGTTCAATCCCTGGTTCCACAAAAAAAAAAAAAAAAAAAATCACACAAGTAACTGAGCTATAAAACTAGAATGTAAAAGCTAAACCTAAGGGAAAGGAGAAGAGCTAGGAAACATGAATAAGTCAAGCCATACAGTTATGTGTAGAAGATGGACAAGGCAATGATCCTGAAATCAATACTTGATGAAAAATACCTGTTCCATAGTATGCCTAAGATGTTTGATATGCAGACAGATAGTGAGGTTAAGCTCAACAGCCTAAGTTGTATGGTAATAACAATAAGCTTGTCTTCTGGATGGTTAACAACCTAAGTTTGCAGACCAAAATTAGAGAAAAAGGAGG